CCCCCTTTTGCAGGTGAGATCGATCGGTGTCTCAAAAAGGTATCGGAAGGTGTGGAGCAGTTTGAAGATATCTGGCAGAAGGTGAGGGCTGCTGTCATCTCTGCCTGGGTTCTGTCCAAACTCCTTGATTATTACCTCATGTAGTTCCTCAGCCTAATTTTATTTTTGGGAAGGGAGGATCAGGGAGAGGAGGGAAGATGTCCATTTGGCTCCTGCTTTTCCTTTATCCAGTCTCTCTCTCTCCCTCCCTCCCTCCCTCTCTCCCCTCCCTCCCTCCCTCTCTCCTACAGCTCCATAATGCAGCAAATGCCAATCAGAAGGAGAAATATGAAGCCGATCTGAAAAAGGAGATTAAGAAGCTCCAGGTACGAATGAGCCAAGCCAGTATTCTTTCACAACCCAATCTCAGGAGATTAATTATGGAGAATAGCCTGAAATCCAGAGAAAGGCACATGGGAAATCCCCAAAAGGCTTTTGTTGGATACGAAGAAGGTGTGGGAGTTTGTCAAGTTGCAATGCGGTGTTTGCATTCCTTTGCTGGAGACTGAATCAGAATTCCTCAGTTTGTCAAAGGGTCACGTCAAACTCCAAGGAAATCAGGGGATCTAGGCAATTCAAATGGGTATAAAGATTTATTGCAAGCTTAAGCTGTCTGCAAGAATCTGAACTACAGTAGATAAGAGTCACAGGAATTCAAGGTGGGCTGGACTTAGAACTCTTGTGGGCAGGAAGGGATTCTTGACTGATGACATGTTTGACCCCTCCCTTGGGCTCAGCCCGGTCATCTACAGGTCTAGATGTTTCCAGACTATATGTTCCAAAATGTCCTTTGACAGTTCCCTCCATTCTCTATCATCATTTAACTCAGAAGTGCTAATAATAAAAATTCAGATAAATAAAGTTCAGGGAAACATATGTTAAAATCATCACTCCCTACATTTTTCATGAAAAACTGTTGGAAAAAGCAGAATTTGAGCAACAAGAGAAAGGAAAAAGATAGCAAGGTATGTTGAGTTGCTGATTGCTTGGCTTCTAACAGATGAAAGTGAAATCCAATAGTTACAGGTAGTCCTTGACTTACAACCATTCATTTACTGACTATTTGAAGTTACAGTAGCACTGAAAAAGGTGGCTTATGACTGATCCTTGCACTTATGACCGTTGCAGCATTCCCACAATCATGAAAATTTGGACACTTGCCAACCAGCATGTATTTACGATGGTTGCAGTGTCCAGGGTCACATGATTGCTATTTGCGATCTTCCTAGTCAACTTCCAATAGGCCAAATCAATGGGGGAAGCTGGATTCACTTAACAACCATGTGATTCACTTAACAACTGCAGTGATTTGCTTAACAACTGTGGCACAAAAGATTGTAAAATTGAGTACTCATTTAACTGCCTCGCTTAGTTAGAAATTCTGTCCCAGTTGTGGTCATAGGTCAACCACAAGTAGTCCTTGACTTACCACAATTCATTTAATGACTGTTCGAACTCACAACGGCACTGAAAAAAACTGATTTATGACCATTGCAGCATCCCCATGGTGATATGATCAAAATTCAGATGCTTGGCAGCTGACTCATATTTATGATGGTTGCACTGTCCTGGTGTCATGTGATCACCTTTTGCGACCTTCTGACAAGCAAAGTCAGTGGGGAAGCCAGGTTCACTTCACAACCATGCTAGCAACTTAACAACTGCAATGATTCACTTAACAACTGCGGCAAGAAAGGTCGTAAAATGGGGCAACATTCAATTAACAAGTGTCTCACTTAGCAACATAAATTGTGGGGTCAATCGTAAGCTGAGGACTATTTGTACCTGTATAACATAGGGGTATAGAAATGAGTCCATACTCATTCTTTATGTTTGACCATTTCTGCTTTTGGTTTTTTTTTGCATAAGACCCAAACAAGCTTTCCCTTAGCTGAAAACACCAAGGAGGGTTGAATTTTATATAATTACTAACCCTGTGATCATTGGCTGGCTGCGGATTATGGAATTTGAATTTGATATATCTAGATGGCACTAAGTTGGTAAAGACTGTTCTAAAAAGTTTCACTGTTATGAGTGTTACTCTAGGTCTAGTCTCTGCTGGGAAGAGCTACTAATAAAGGGAACAAAATTTGATCATGGAACTACTTTTCTCTTTCTGCAGAGATTGAGGGACCAGATCAAGACATGGGTTGCATCCAATGAGATTAAAGACAAAAGGCAGCTAATAGACAACCGGAAACTCATTGAGACGGTAAAAATCCAGAAAGAAAATAATCTATTAGTTATTTGTCAGTGCTCAGCAAAAATTCAGGTGAAATGGATGTTTTTCAAAGAAACTCTGGTTTTGGAGGACTAAATGAACCAGATTTAATTTTGTCCAGTTTTAGGCTTAGCTCTTACCAGCTCAATCAGCTTTTGCACTTAAGACTTCTTAATAATTTTATGTTTGGCTCCGCCTTAACTGTGTTGACATTGGCTGCTAGCTGTGTGACCTCATAAAGGTAAGCCACCTGGCCATCTCACTTATTACTTAAACTGAATAAGTGACAGAAAAGGGGTTCTGTGGGGAGCCCAGGATCTTTTCCACACAAACTTCTTTAGAGTGACAACATGATAGATGGTAAGACCTTCTTAGTTTAAGGGTTTAACTGGTAGTGCTTATAGAAGGTCTTCTAAACTTTGAGAGTGGAGGCTTTGAAATAAGGGACTTTGCAAGGATCAAGCTGTATCTTGTATTTCCTAGGCAACCTGAATCAGTAGACATTTTATACATTTTCTTTTTTTGAGGGTGGGAAAGGCACTCTTACAAACCTCCCTGTTGTATTTTTCTAGCATCAAATCCAAGCACTGTGATTAAAAAGCACTGATGGTTGGTGATCATCAGTATCTTTTTGCAGGGGCAAAATGCATATTTGCTGCATCTTTCATGATTGGGGGTTGTTCTCTGTGTTACATGGCTCCATGTGACACTGCTTTGGGTATTTGTGGACAATATCTACTCATTATTCACTTTGTGATTGAAAATGCCTTTGTGTGCCTGTGTTTATGTAGCCATCAGTGTCAGTATTCTGTAGAAGCAGTTACATATTAAAATATTAATTAAAAAAAGCATTTGAATTAAACAACCCATGCCCTGTTGGGGAACTGTTTCAGATATATTTCATTTCCTAAACAGAGAAGCAGAAAGACTACGAGCAGACAAAAAAACCATAGAAGCAGGAGTGTCTTCTGACTTCCTGCTAACTTTCCCATTGAATTTCTTTGTGGGAATTTGGCGAGGAGCATCGGAAATCTTCCTTTCTCCCCTCCCTTCCCTACTGCTCCTGGGTGAGAGAAAGAGCAAGGAATTGCAAGACTGGCTGGGAAACTGTCATGAAAGCAGCAACCAGTAACACTGAAGCAACTACAGTTTCCCCAAATTTCATTCCCTCGGGAGTCCTGGGTCCCAGATTTTTAATACATTCTGTAAATTAGCCCATTTGAGGTACTTTGGTTCAAAAATTGTTGCTATATGATGCAATGTTTTGCCTAATTAGAGGGCATGGCAATGAGAGTATTAGTAACATCTAGATGGGCCTGGCAAAACCATTCTTTGGATAGGTTCAGTTAGGAAAAAAATCAGTTCCACTGTGGTAGTAGCAGCACCATGTCAATGAGGTTCACTAGTTTGGGTTGGCCTGCTTATTTGAATAACTCAGCATTGTAGACAAAACAAGCTTACGAATTTTGTTAAGGAAGTTACCATAAGAGTTCAGGAGCCAGGATTTCTGGATAGGAAGAAATATAGTGAGTACCTATGTTTAGGGGACTAAGATTCTGAATACAAGGATAGGCAGTAGAATTTATATCTGGAAAAGATTCCTCAGCAGGATTCCCTTCTGGTTTTTGGGGAGCCAACTTTCATCACCTCCAAGCAATATCAGGTTGAGGATGGTTTTGAAACCTAATCTATGAGTGACAATCAAATAGCTCGAAATTATCACTTCTAAAATGCAGATAAGGAAAAGCCATTTTAAATGGTCTGAGATATCCCATTTGTTTTAATCTGTTCTGCAATCATTCTAATTGCTGCTTTTCTCAGCATTCAGCTTCTCCTAAGCTGGTTAGGAATCTCTCCAACTGATGGGAGACTGCAGAAATCCGCATCCAATTAATCCTATGTCCCTCCCCACATCCCAACATTTCTTCCCACCTGTTCAGTGATTTTAAAGCAACCAGACTGGTCACCATGAGGGGGGAAGCTGTTCAGTTGTAAAAGAGAAAATGAAAAGACAGTTTAATAGTATCTTGGTGGCTTAAACTTTCCCAAGGATGTAGAATTTATGAGAGATGCAGTGAGACACAACCACTACCTCAGACTCCAGAATTCATTCTGCAGATTCATTCATTCTGTCTTTGTGGTGACTTTGCTTACCCTGAAGCAGAGCCAGAGGTTTGTTGCAATAGAAGAAAATATATGTAGATCAGGGTTAAACTGTGGGGACCTTGGTACACTCTGAGCTTGGTTGATTGCTTGATTACCAATGTTTCAGTACCCAACTAGGTAACAACAGTGTTGATGTTACATAGATGGGCAATAGAATACTTACTGTCAAACAACCTCAAAGAGCACCAAGGAGTACATATAAATTAATTGGTTCTGCTCCCCAGAACAAACAGTGGTGTTGTATATGTTCATACAACTTCTGAAAATTTGAGAGTGGCAGAGAGATCACATATGGAGGAGCCCTATGATTTGACCATAAGCATTTTAGGGTTTTCCCACCCTTCTTTCAGATCAAAAATAGTGGTTGAAGTTATGTTCATCAGAGCACTTAATTTTTATTTTTATTTTTAGTTTATTGCAGTGTAGATGTGCATTTCAAATGCTGAAAAATATCTGCTAGGTGCTGGATTCTGAGCTCTCCTGGGAACTGTTTCCTGCTTTGTGTTAACTCAGAGACTTTGTAATCTCTCTTTCCAGCAAATGGAGCGGTTCAAGGTAGTGGAACGTGAGACCAAGACAAAAGCCTACTCCAAAGAGGGGCTAGGCCTGGCCCAGAAAGTGGACCCAGCTCAGAAGGAGAAAGAGGAAGTTGGGCAGTGGCTGACGGTGAGAACTGGGGACTGTTGGCTGGATTGGATGGCAAAGCAGCTTCTGGAGAAAGCAGGGAGCAGAACTAATTTTCCCAACCTTTGATTGACAATGTAAAGGGTCCATATGAGAAATTACTTATGTGACTTATCAGAAGTTACTAGGTAGGGCAAAGAGCATCCTGAAACTCTGTAATTTTGCTGTGGTGTAAAAGAGCCCTTTCCCTCATCCCCTCCTCTAAGGTTAAAGAACGAAGCTGGAAGTTTTGTCTTCCAAGAAAGAGACTCTTGTGGATATTTTGGTTGTTCGGTGACAAAAAGTCTCATGACAACCTGAAAAAAAATTCTCTTGCCTGAATTTCTGGTGATGATGACCCTTGGCTAAACAGACAGTTGCATGATAAGAATGCAGCCATAGCTTTGAACTCATTGAATGCAGAACAGAGGTTGAAGCTTGCCATAGAATCATAGGGCTGGAAATAACCTTGGAGGTCCATTTGGATCTGTTTTCTCCTCTGAGCCCAGAGGGAGTTTCTTCAACTCTGTTCATATCAGTTGTCAGTGACCAGTGTAGTTTGGGGAATAGGTTTGGGGTCCCATGCTGTCGGAAAATGACGGTTTAAAAAAAAATGTTTTTATTATACATTTTTCTTTATAATACATCACATTTTCCATTTTATGACAGCCCACCTCTTTCCGTCTCTTTCCTTCTCCTTCCCTCCCTTCCCTTCTCCCCTCCGCTTCCCTCTCCTTCCCTCTCTCCTTCTCTTCTCCCCTCCCTACTTCCCTCTCCTTCCTTCTCCTCCCTTTTCCTCACCTTCTCTCCTCTTCTCCACTTCCCTCTCCCCTCTCCTCCCCTTTCTCCTACTCCTCTCTTCCCCTCCACTTTCCTCTCTCCTTTCCCCTCTCTGCTTCCCACTTCTTCTCCTCTCCCCTCTGCCTTTCTCCCTTCTTCTCCTCTCCTCCACTCCACTTCCCTCTCTCCCTTCATTTCTTCACTTCTCTTTCCTTCCATCTTTTTCTTTTCATTGTTGTATATAAATTTCCATTTCCCTACAAATACAGTGTATTTTCCAGGTACTGTCTCTTTCAAATATAACTATACATTTTCTTGAAATTACATTTGAAGAAAACAAGCTTAATATCTACATGAACAGTGTGTGGATAGCTGTAATATTCATAGTTATAGTAACATACTGATAATATTTATTCATATTAATAATTTTTCATTTGATTAATCATTCTCTTAACCTTTTAATTTCTATCTTTTCCTTCTATTATCTAACTATTGATAGACACATACGGTCATCTTTCAGTTTCTAATTTATTTAATACTTGAATGTTGTTATATAGAGATATCCGTAGTGATATTTTCCCCATTTCTCATTTCTACATCTGTCCTAGTTCTCATGCACAAAACTCCTGGCTTAAAAGGTATTCTACATCTATCCCTCAACTCCTGCCCGTGTCCCCCCCCCCCCCAAAAAAAACCCCTCTTATTAACTTCTTGGCACATCTCCTTCACTCCTTCCCTGGAATCTTGTATCTTCTTGCCTCATTCACATTTAACATAGGTATTTCATTTATTTCAATCGCTTCTTCACACTTTTGAGTCTTCAAAAAGCCTTTCACTGATTCTTTCCTCACTTCATGAGAATCTTTCTGTATAACCTCTTTTCATATTTTGGTCTCTTGAAGTATGAAAGCTATCTAGAGTATAATTTGCTTTTTCTGTTTCATATGTTTTTACTATCTCCTCTTTTTTTAAATCTTTTTGTGTCATTTGTCGTGTTTTTTCCCCTGTCTTTTCTTTTTTTTTTTTCAGCCAGTATAATCAATTGCAGATATCTTCAGCTTCTCTTTTAGACATAACAGATCTTCACTTATCGCTTACTCATGTCTGTCTTTTTTCTCTGGTTCAGCTGCAAATATGGCCCCGACGCTATTTTCTCTTTTATTTTCTTGTTTTAATCATTTTTCCAAACTCCCTCACTTCAAGATGATAACCAAGATATAGTACAATATTTTAAAACAGTTTAGTTTGCTGAAAAACTAGCCAATCCAGTCTATCTCTTGTCTTGAAGATTTTTAACATTTTCTGTTCGTTCGTTCTTTTCCGGGTCTGATATTCACTCCCAATTTTTAGTTGCCACTTTTCTTTGGGGTTCGGGAAGGACCCTACCACCACTTCAGTTGAGTCCCAGTCTCCTTAGGGGGTGCTTTAGGGAAAATTTCACAGCAATAATTAGAGATTTCTCACCCACGTCATGCACACTGTTGCAAGATCGTTCCCTTCTTCTCTTCCATTTCAGCAGTCATGGCTTCGGTTCAGCCATAATGGCTGTCCTCTCTTCCACCAGATAAAGGGGTTTTCTTTGGGTCAAACGAGAAGACTGCACTCTCCTTGCAACCTCCAAAGCATCCCCTCTTTCTTTGTCACCCATCCAGGGTGACTTGGCCCTGTAGGGCTTCTCCAAGCGGGAGAAATAGACGGGACTTTGTGGAGCTCTGCTCCTCCCCATCTCTTCGCCATGACTTCCGCTACCCTCTCTTGGAAAATGACAGTTTGTTAACAGAAGTTGTGCGTCTCCATCTCTTGGCCCACTGATTTTTTTTTAACCAAAGTTTGTTTTATTTAGGTATTAATACTATAAGATACAGAAATACAAAAGAAAATAGTAGGAAAGATAGGGGAAGGGAAAAGTGTGGGGAAAAGAAAATGTGTTGACTTCTGACTTCCTTCACTGCAGTAGAATAAAATAACATCAAACCTCAATTTTTTTTACTGTTACATAATAGTATAAACTAGCCATTTCTATAACAACAAACCTACCTAATCAGTAAAACCCAAAGTCAATGTTCATCACTCCGCTTAACAACTAATTCCCACAACACTGTCAATAATTTACTAAGACTGTATTACTATTATTATTCTCTTCCT